ATAATATCTTCATATATAAATTTAGCAACAGTTGTAGCTTTTACATTAGTTACAGCTCTTGCTTCTGGCTATTTGGTCAAATAATCCATAGCAATGATAATATAATGATTGCCTTGCTTGATAGAAGGTAAAGGTCCTTTAATATCAATTTCAACTCTATAGAATAAATATTTAACTTCTAGAGAGGTTAAATCTTGTCATCGAATTTTATATCCTCTATGTTGGCAAATATCATATATTTGTATATAACTTTTGATACTATTGTACATAGTCGGCCAATAATATCTTTCTTTTATTTTGTTATAAGTAGATGATATACCTAAGTGTACTTCTTGTTTATCATGTAAAGTGTATAAAATAAGGTATTTTTGGTCTGGTTTGATTACTCGTTGATGCTTGGTTTAATTTCTTTTATATAATTTATTATTTTCTATAAAATAATATTTTGCTTTTTTTTAAATTCGAGATTTTTCTGTATTAGAGATATTCAAGTCAAATTGTAGAAAAAAGAAGTATTGATATAGCTAATTGTATAATTTGTTATCTATTATTTTTTAAATATTTAGGTAGATGAGATAGAAAATCAGCATTTTTGTTCTAGCTACCAGCTCGATATTTAATATCAAACTGATATTCTTGAAGGGTCATCCTCTATCGAGTTATCTATTTGTTATCATTAATAGTGTAGGAATTTAATAACCATTGTAGTGCTCTATAATTAGTAATTAAGGTAAATTTTGTTCTAAAAATATAATGTCTAAAATATTTTATGGCCCAAATAGCTGCCAAACATTCAAGTTTAACAGTGCTATAATTGGTTTTTATAGAAGTTAAAGTATAACTAGTATAAGCAATTATATGCTCTCGACTATTTTTAATTTTTAATAGAACTGCACCTAGTTCTTGGTAGAAAGTATCAGTGAAGAGAATAAAAGGTTCATTGTAATCAGGATATTGTAATATAGAGGTGTGTGTTAAACAATATTTCAACTAGTTAAAAACCTCATCTTGAGATTTTTTCTAAATAAAAGGTTCATCCTTTTTCAATAATTTTAACAAAGGTCCAGCCTTTGTAGAAAATCCTTCTATGAAACGTTTATAATAAAATGCTAAGTCTAAGAAGGCTCTAAGTTGAGTAATAGTTTTAGAAGAGGGAAGATTGTTTAATTTATCAACCTTTTGAGAGTCCAGTTTAATTCTATCAACACCAACTATATGTTCAAGAAATTGCATTTCGTTTGTACAGAAGTGACATTTTTTAGGATTAATTCTAAGATTGGCTTGTTAAATTAATTCGAACACTTCTTGTATATCCAGTATATCAGTGTTGTCATGGGACAGCTTTGGACAATACTTTGGACAATCTTGGACAATCTTGGACAATTAAATAAAGTAAAA